GCATTGGAAACTAATAAAAAGTCACGAACCAAAATTCTATATCATACAAGTCATTGAAAATGACACAGTCCCCGTTAAATTTTTGAAAGTTCCCTTTGTGCTCATCATATTAAAGCGGAGGGGTTGTCACGAGTGTGTCCTTGACACAAGTGGCATATACAACAGATTGTTTATTTCCATCAAACATGTGTTCCATGTAGTAGTAATATGGCCAAAAATAAAAACAGCCGTTATTCGGCCATCTTTCATCTGATTATGAAACACACTGATATGTATGATGTATGTGCCAACTACGAATGAAAATGGTACATACATTGTGGAAATATATATAAGTAAGGCCAAAAAGTCAGATGGCTGTCAATCGGCCATCCTTGACCAGATTTTGAAACAAATTGTCATGGACATGCATCCTAACATGTATAAAGTACATGTATGTGCCAAATTTGAATGAAAACTGACAGAGCACGTCCAAGATACCGCATAAAAAACAAGCAGCCGGTCGGCTGAGATAGCTCCGCTGTTAGCAATGCACATTTCAAGTAAAAAACAGAAGATATTATTAGAAAATGAACAATATGTATAGTATCAAAGCAATGGGACTTGCTGTTTTCAACAAGAACTCAAAAATATCACTTTTCACCAAAAATGACAAAAACAATCATCAAAATTAGATAATTGAAAATATCATCACAAAATTAACAAATCTGAAAGAGGTCCACATGTAGTACCTATATATGTAATATAAAAACAATCAAACTTGGGATTTTTTAACAAGAAGTCGAAAATATCACTTTTTACCAAAAATGACAAAAATATGCACCAATATTAGAGAATTAAAGATATCATTACAAAATGAACAAATCTGAGAGGTCCACATGTAGTACATATATATGTAATATCAAAGCAGTTGAACTTGCGGTTTTTAACAAGAAGTCGAAAATATCACTTTTTACCAAAAATGACAAAAATATTCACCAAAATTAGAGAATTAAAGGTATCATTACAAAATGAACAAATCTGAGAGAGGTCCACATGTAGTACCTATATATGCAATATCAAAGCAATTGGACTTGCGGTTTTTAACGAGAAGTCTAAAATATCACTTTTTACCAAAAATGACAAAAATATTCACCAAAATTAGAGAATTGAAGATATCATCATGAAATGAACAAATCTGAGAGAGGTCCACCCAAGGTACATATACACCAAGTATCAAAGCATTCAGACTTGTAGTTTTCAAGAAGAAGTCAAAAAAGTAAAACATTGACACGGACGACGGACGATGACAGAGAATCACTCATATGATAAGCTTGGCTCGACAGTCGGCAGCGGAGCTAAAAAAAAAACAAGATGTCCTGCCAGTCGATCATCTTTGATCCAATTGCGAAATAAATCGTCATGGACATGTATCCTAACATGTATAATCTATGTACCAAGTTTGAATGACAACTGACAAAGCATGTCCAAAATACAACATTTTCAAAAAACAAGATGGCTGCCAGTCGGCCATTTTGAATCGAATCACTAAACCACTGCATGTGCAAATGTCCCACATAAGGTACTAGGCACATGCAAAGAATGAACGGAATTGGTCCACAGGATTCTGAAATATGACTCTGGACAGACTGACGGACGGACGGACATTCTACCTTGCATATACACTGTATGCTTCAACTTAACTGAAAATCTTTTCACTTTTATTGGGTTATAATTATGATAGAGCGTGGCCATAATCTTAGACATTATGAATTAGTCAAATACCTTGCCCAAAAGAACTGTAAAAAATGTCACTCAGACACACACCAATGTACCATGTATGGGCTTTGTGGAAGCTACTGTCAAACACCAGTCAAAAGCCGGTGAAAACAGAAAACATCTCAAACTCAACTATAAGACAATCCCGAAAAACCAAATTTATGTATGTTGCATGTATTGGGGCAATCTTGTTACACTGTTCAAGAGAGTCTAAACAACTAGCCCAAAGCACAGCTTTATGAATGTATTTATTTTCACAAGTAATGGTTGTCGGCAGTGAAAATGCCAAGATATTCACTCCCGAGAATATATAGAAAGAATGAAAAGATAGTAACAGCTCACAGAGTAAAAAAACTTAATATACTTATCAGCTGTTAACAGCGTTTTTGTACATGTAATCACTTGAATGACACAAATTTCACGGCTTTCTTAAAATGCATACATTGCTATAATAACAGGTTCAGTTATTTTTCCCTGTCATTACCTTAATTGCACTTAATTTGAATTCTGACATGGTGTACAGGTCAAAGGTTAATGCAGTACTTAATGTGGAATCTTTTCAATGATAAATAATAGAATACTTTAATAACTATATTTCATATCTGTGGAATTTTAAATTTCTTTGTATGAGCACAACACCACAGGAATTAAGATGATAAATGCTTTCAAAGGTCTCGTGAGAATTCTGCGGTATATAGAAGGCATTGATTTTCATTCAGTATTTGCATTCTTATAGTCATGTTTCCATAGCAACCAGGCCTGAATTCATCCCTTATTCATCTCTACAAACCAATAAGGTGTTCAGCATATCAACACTTGATATTCCACAGGGGATTTTTTGGGACAGCTTTCTTTTCTCAGTTAATTGCAACTGTCATGGCAGATTGATAGATGCTATGCCCCTCATCAGATATTACATGTGCATAGTGGACAAAATCAGATTTGGGGGAAAGTCATTTATTTAAAAGAACGATGTGAAGTTTGATTGATCAATATACTTGAGACCTGACAGGTCAAAACACTAATTAACCAATGAAAACAATGGATGATGCCTACATGTTCAAATTACCATAGCTCATTTAAATATTAGTTAATGTTATTGAACATAGCATGGAAGAGAATTTTTGATGTTGTAGTACAATCTTTTGGCTTGGATTTTGATGAGAAAGTGGCATGATTTGTTTTTAAATAAAAAATTAGTTGTTTTCAAAAGATAAACTGAGCATTTGAATAATTTAACATTGTTTACAGTGATAACAGCTCATTGTCGAAACGAAACTTATTCATTTACTCTAGTCACAATAAACATCATACTATTGAATAGGTGTCAATAGCTATGGTGAAACTTTTAGGCATCAGAAAAGATTAAAATAACACTTTAACACACTGCCGAAAAATTTTATTTTTTCAAAAACCCAAACTGCCATTTAACGCTCAGGGCGAATTTACGGCAGAATCCGGTATTGCGCATAAAGTGTTGCGTAGACAATTTTTTGTTTCAAAATTTGCCCACCGTGAAAAATAGTTTCTCAGTTGTACCAGTGAGGGTGAAATGGTACCTGCCAGTCTGGATATTGTGTGTTAAACCATCATTTTGCAATTACATCACATATTTTGTGAAACTCCCATTTTCCGTTATTTTTGTAAATAAAAACTAATCATCCCGAGCGTGGTATGGTAAGGTAGGTAATTCAATTCTCATGAACCCAGGTCCTCAGATACCTACTTTATTATTTTTGGCTATTTAATATTCAGTCCATTTGTTTTCTTGGACAAATACTATCATAATGGCTTTCATATTAGGTGAGAACGCAAGCTTCTATTCAAGACCATGTGTAAATTATATAAAGATTTATTTTCTTTATTGAGTGTTTTTAATTTTATTATTGTTATACAAACTATCATGCACTGATGTAAGTTTTTTTAAATGACTATAGAGCATTTCAATTTGGTGAGAGACTAATTTTCTTGAATTTTATGAATTGCAGAAACCAGAATGCATAAGCTGATGAAAAACAAATTATTTTATTCCCTATTAACACCAGGGGAGGCTCTTACCTTATATGATTGGGGTCAAAGTCTTTGTCAGAAACCACGGCACAGTTGGACAGCGACAACTCGTCAGTTGGACACCGTACTGCTTTGATAACCTAAAAACAGAAAAGATAAAACATTATGAAAAAAACATAAATCAATCTCACGCACACTTAAGCATTAGATTTATATTACTACTCAAGAATAATCATCCCCTGTTGACTCGCACTATGAAAATCCCTCGGATAATCTGACCAGAATCTAGTCATTAGTATGCAAAATAGCCAGAAAAGACGTCTGATCTGAATCTGACCAGAATCTAGTCATTAGTATGCAAAATAGCCAGAAAAGACGTCTGATCTGAATCTGCTTGTCAGTTTTACAGAAACATACACCCTAGAGAAGTTTCACACTCGGCGATTCTTGCTAAAATTTCATAGATTCTGATCAGAAATCCCTGTTCTCAAGATACTACTCAGAATATGAGAAGATTAAATTTTTGGTACACCATAATCTTTTCCTGTCAAAATTTAGTAGGAACATTTCACAAATTTTCATGTATTTTTCAATAATTTTTTTGAAACTTTGGACCAAATGGACATACAAGTCTTGATCTAAATTGAAAAAAAAAGTAAAGTAAATCTAGAAGATACAGTCCATGATTAAATTACTATTCCAGCTTCCCTAGTAATAAGGTTAATACAGCAAACACAATATTGAATACATCAGTCAGTGCATAGCGTATTTTAAAAATAGTAATTCATGCTGTCAGGATCGCAGATACTCCAGACATTAAAGGTGGACATGATTAAAACACTTTTGACAAAAGATATCACTGAAACTTTAAAGGTTTTAGGTAATAAGGTTATGTAAAATAGTTTTTGAATCATAAACCACAGTTTAACACATGGCCTACTGAAAGTCTACATGAATAGAAAAAAACATTGAAATCAGCAGGTGATATTGCTAAGAGGTTATCTCAGTGTTAGTGTTTCCATGGTAACAAGTTGGGGTACTACCCCATCTCTCATTTGCTTTTTGTCTTTTATTTGATGAAACCTTTCGCTCTGCAAAATATCAAGAATTTGTAGTGTTTTATTTTTACTACATCCATCGTTAAATCCACATTCATTCAGATAAGACAACAGCTCATTAGGATTACAATGTATATGGGACCACCATCAAAAATTTCATAAATTTGTGATGAGAAAATTTGTAAACATTTTTTTTATAATTTGTTTGTGGCAAAAAGGTACAGTTGACTGAACCTGTTCTCATGGAAATTGCATTTTTAAATTATCCTGCATCATTATAGGCCAAAATAGGTGAAAAAATAATTGGCAATTTTTTTTTTGAAGAAAGACAGATGGCGAGTAAATTCATCTTGGTATTTCAAGCTGTTGTGAAATATACACCAGCTACATTACGTACAAAATTGTAATCTCTCTTAATTAATGCATATTCAAATTTGTAATATACCATATTTGTCCTATCATGTTATGTAAATTATAGAAGGGTTTTCAATGATCCAGTACACAACCAATGCAAATTTTTATTTACATTTATTTATTTTTATTTATTTATTTATTTATTTTTATTTTTATTTACATGCGTAAATGTATATGGAGATGTGCTTGAAGAAATACAGTATTTTTTATAAACAGTGTCAACTCAACAGTAATTGTTATGCTATCATTAAAACAGAAATGAATACTTTTTTGTGAATTACACAAGTCAGTGAAGATCGCTGAGATATATAACAGCCAAAAGTTTCACTGGAGTCGTAACAACAGTTAAGACAGAAACTTTAATCTTCATTCACAAAAGATTTAAACAATAAGCCACCGAGAGTACATTATTGTTATTATTTTGTTGCATTGGCAGTGAATTTTCACATGTTAAATTTAAGATAATATGGAAGAAATGACCGAAAACATTTAACAGAATCGCATCTACATTATATGGGCCTTGTAATCTGGATACTGTATATAACGTCAAAACGTTCACGCAACGATTCCCATTCACACACACAAACACAATACAGTGTGCAGCGGTCATTTCAACATAACACGTATACAAAAAAATAGACAAACTTGGAACTCCCTATCCTACATAATGTTAATTTTGTGATGATCTGGAGAACTAGTGATGTGCAGATGAATTGAAGCTCGTAAACCAGACAGCGATGGCTTGCTGCACTGCACCCCATCTTGCTTGCGAGCTGCAGCGTAAAAATCCTGCAGCAAGTCGGCGAGCTCAATGACAGAAAGGTCTTCAAAATTGGTGGCCCAAAACGTATTTAGTCTGCTGTGAAGTATTTTTTTCATTTCTTGCATTTTCGAACACATTTAACTGGGATTCATCAACATCAATACAACGGGTTATCGTGGTTGCCTTTGGTGAGCTACGTTTATTTACATGTTGGACATTAGTACGGGTGTTTTTTGCGAAATTGGGATTGGCCAGACGACGATTTGTGTTTGTCGTTATGACGGGAATGACATTTTTCATGTAAACTAAGAACAACAAATTATTTTTCATATAGCTCAGAGTTATTCATTTTCAGTTTTGATTTTAATCGCTTAAGACAGCGAACATGGAAAGACAAGAGTAACATTTAAAGAATCTAAACTGATTTGTTGTAAATTTGATCGTCTCTCAGTGACGCCACAAGTAATGATGAATCTAGTCACCACCCACCGAATGTTTAAAATTTCAAACAATAAAACAAATTTTGATATCCCAATGATGAGAAATTATCTGCCAATCGGCTCAAAAATTACTAAGAGGGATTTACAATGCCTAGGTACTCTATTTTGATTCTTCGTATATTTTTATTTTGTAATCACTGAGACACATGGCAATTCACACCACTCAGATATATTGGCTTCCGATCTTTGAAGATCAAAATGGAACAAACCACTTCAATCAGGAGGGGTGCACCATAAATCCTGGATGCATGCATTTAGCATAATTACCTTCACTTTAAACAAGTTTAAAATCAATGTTAAGCAGCCGAAATTGACATGATCAAAACGAAGGTAGTCAGGTAAATGAAATCATTTCAGTCCAGCAGAGTGCGGAAACTACAAAACACGCCCCTTTTAACACGGGTCACCGAGAACCGCATTAATATACTGATCAAATCAAATACAATGTTAGTTATTAGAATTACTTGAATCAGAGGCCCTGAGGGTTATACTCCAAAACGAGTTACAATAATAGAATGATTATTAATAATTGAAAGTGAGCTCTTCGCAAGAGATTAGTAAAAGATTACATATGTATGCGTCTTATATTGGGCCGTAAATCAAACACAGAACGGATGGTTGTACATCACCGTTACGTAACCAGCAACGAAGCTGTCAACACCTACAACATACGTGAACTGATCCTGCCTTGTCTAGTGTCATCGGTAAATGAATGAAATCCAGGTCACCCATTAATTCTGAGCGATTTCGTTCTTCTGCCGTCTCTTTGGTAGCAACGCTACCGGATGGGACAAAATACTTCCAGATATTCATGTTTGAATGCCATGATGGTTTTACGCTTACATACACATACTATTTATACCGGTACATTCGTACCGGACATACCAAGATTGTTACTCACCCGGGTCGCCATTTTTCCACGATTTAAAATCCACGAATGCGAGCCTGACCTGACGCACCTAACGTCATATTTATTATTAGTCGTTGATGGCGCTGCAGTGACGAATCGTCTTTGTTATGCTGGGCGACATAATCGGGGGGATTTTCCCTATGACAGACAACATTGTGACGTGGAACTTCTGTAGGCACTCGCGGTTAAAAATAGAAAATAACCAATGATGAGAGCATATTTATAATTACATTGTAATATAAAATAATGCAAATATTTATTAGTCTGTTTTTATATGCACATAAAATGTTGGTTTTGCTCTACACTAACGATGTGTTCTCTTAAGCCTACTAGTAATGTAACAATTTTAATTCCTTTGAGGAGTTTTAAGTGTTTAAACTATTAACACTAGGAGGTCAAAGATTTGAAACCAGAGGGAGTGAAAGAGTGTGACCAGTGGAAATTGTGTTCGCCGCGTTTTTTTTTTAAATTTTTCTTGGGTCTAACAACATTTAAATCTGTCTGGCATAAGACCTGGCATGCAAGTCCTCTTTTCTCTCGGTGTATAGCTTGCATTTTTGAACAAATCTTCACCCTATTATTACATTATATGGACGACCCCTACAATAAACCTGATAACACTAAACTCCCCCCCCCCATCAATTGCTAGAAAGCAAGTGTGAGATGAAAAGTATGCAAAACAGAAATATATACACTGATATATATATTTGAAAATTTTGTGGAGAGTGGAGGATTTTGTGTGAAAGCTGAAAAACAAATACACAAATGTTTATGAATAGTTTCTATTGTGCCAGCATCCTGAAATGGGGTATATCTGCCAACTTGAAGTCACCTGAATTTGGATTTTTAAGTCAAAAACATGCCAGTGTGAACCGCAGGTTTGCGATCATCGATAAATTGCGTCAGTACATACGTATATACATCATATAAACAGATTTCATTGATGATGTCTACCGTTGTTTGGTTTATTTGACCAATGCAATTCAGCGCATTTTACGTTTTGATGACTAAGTGTTTGAGTTGGGAGATTGTGGTCAAAGTTTTAAAAGCAAAAACACCTATTTTATTTTTACTTACGTAGCATGGATAAAGAAAATGATTTACAAATATGAGGTTACTTAATCAAAATTGAGTGAAAATAAAATGCTTTTATATTTAGATTGAATTTATTTGAATATTCAACATTTATTCTTCTTATGAAATTTTGTACCGTATATATTTATACTATATGGGCTTCAGCAAAACGGACATGTAAACACACGGACATGTCAATACGCACATGTAATATATTCCGAGTTAACAACCCTATTTGACACCAAATTTAGGACGATCTCCCAGTACCCCTTGTATCACAAATAAAAAGACATACGTATTTTACACAAATAATTCAAAGTGAGAAAAGTTGAATACTCATAAAGCATAGTTTTTTTTTTCATAAATACTGTTCCTCGAAAGTGTTACAAGTGTTCACCTCTAGAATATGTTACGCCCTCTAGACATACAAAAAACTTCTTTAGTTGTAGTTTCGCTGGTACCCGGCGTCCTTGGGGCGGGAACCAGCTAAAGTTGTAGACGGATTAAAATCAATCTGATCTAAATTAGCAAGTAGCGACTCAAAGAACGGTTTACACCGGTGAATAAAATAAAATAAAGTAGAGTAGAATCTTCACACCTGATTCAC